TGTGAAACAAATGAGAGGATTCGGCTAGCAGCTGTGAGATAAGTGGGGGGAATTTTTTTTTTTAAGTGTTCAAGATCAAACCCAGGGATTTGTGTGTGTACGGCAAGTAGCCTGTGGCTGAACTATACCTCCCAGTCCATATTTTTTAAGCCATTAATTTTTGGAGTGATTGATTAAGCAAAAATAGATAATACGTAAGGATTTTAGAAGTATATATTATAAATAAAAACTGTGGGGCTTCACATTCTAGAGTAGCCTAGGCTCTTCAAAGATAATATTTTAAAAACAAGATGGGCTGTTCTAGATTGAGACTAAAGAGACATATGACTATATAACTAATACAATAAATAAGTCTTGATTATTTAGGTTAGATCCTTTCAAAGCATAAGTTGCAAAAGGCATTCTTCGGGCAAACAAGAACATCTGAAATATGAACTAGATATTAGATATTATGAAATTAGTAATTTTCTTAAGTGCAATGATATTACAATTATAAAGAATGTTATTAAAAATGCCCTGATTCTTGGAGGCATCAATACCAGACTTAAACTATACTACAGACCTACAGTAACAAAAACAGCATGGCATTGGCACCAAAACAAACACGAAGACCAATGGTACAGAATAGACGATACAGAGACAAACTTAAATACATATAGTTATATCATATTAGACAAAGGTGCCATAAACATTCATTGGAGAAGAGAGAGCCTCTCAACAAATGGTGCTGGGAAAACTGGAAATCTATATGTGGCAAAATGAAATTAAACCCCTATCTCTCACCCTGCACAAATATCAATTCAAAGTGGATCAAGGACCTAGGCATTGGACCAGAGACTCTGCACCTACTAAAAGAAAAAGTAAGCCCAAATCTCCACCATGTCGGCTTAGGAACCAATTTCCTCAACAAGACTCCTAAAATGCAAGAAGTAAAATCAGGAATTGATAAACTGGATGGTATCAAACTAAACAGCTTCTTCACAGCAAAGGAAACAATCAGAATGTGAACAGGGCATACAGAATGGGAGAAAATCTTTGCCACCTGCACCTCAAAAAGAGCATTAATCTCCAGGATATATAAAGAACTCAAAAAACTTAACACCAAAAAGACAAAACCCAATCAATAAATGCAAAAAGGAAATGAACAGACACTTCACAGAAGGCTTCCTTAAGTTCAGATATGATACAATCAAGTCAAAAGAGCAAATACATATCACCCATGGAGTTTCTTGCCAAAATAACTTAATCTAACTAACCCAGTTGCGATCAGTCAACAAATATATGAAAAAATGCTCAGCATGTCTTGCAATTGGAAAAATGCAAATTAAACTGCACCGCGATTTCATCTCACTCTAGTCAGAATGGCAGCAATCAAGAATACAAGTAACGATAAATGTTGGCAAGGATGTGGGGGAAAAGGTACACTCATACATTGTTGGTGGGACTGCAAATTGGCGCAACCACTCTAGAAAGCAAAATGAAGATTCTTCAGAAAACTTGGAACGGAACCACCATTTGATCTAGTTATCCTACTCCTTGGCATATACTCCAAGGACTTAAAATCAGCATACACTAGTGACATGGCACATCAATGTTTAAAAGCAGCTCAATTCACAATAGCTAAGCTGTGGAACCAAACTAGGTGCCCTTCAAACAGATGAATGGATAATATACACCTCAGCCCTTTTTGAGATAGGTTCTCACTTAGCTGCGTAGGCTGGTCTCAAAAGTTATAATCTTCCTGCCTCAGTTTTCCAAATAGCTGGAATTACAGCTGAGTGTCATTGCACATTGCCTCTGCAATTTAATTTTAAGCAGTTTCAAAAGAAAGTTTACATGCAGAGAGAAAAATATGACAAAACATTAACAATTGTAGATTATATAGTTCCTAACTTACAATGGTTCTACTTTTTTTTTACTTTATGATGATGTGAAAGAAGTAAGAAAAACTCTGCTTCATATTTTGAACTTTTCCCAGGCTAGTTATATGTAGTAAACTACTCTCATGTGCTGGACAGGGGCAATAAATTGCAGCTCCCAGTCAACTACACAATCATGAGAGTGAGCACACAATACTCTACAGTTCACTGGGGTTGCTAAGCTATGATATTCAGCAGATTTGGTGTATTAAGTGTGTTTTTGACTTAAGATACTATCAATTTGTGATAGATTTATCAGGCTATAACCCTTCATAAATTGAAGAGCACTTTAATGTATGAGCATTTGCATTAAAAAATTAAAGGAAAAACTCATGGTAAAATGGTATTAACTATTAAAAGTCTTCAAATTGTATTTGTCATAACTATACTGCATAGAATTTTCTACAGAAAAAATGAATTAAAATTTGAATAATTTCAAATTACTTTTTTAGAAGATTAACATTTTCTAATCTCAAGTGGATAATTTCTCTCAAGACCTCTAGGAATGATGATACATCACAAATAGTCCTCTATTCATTTTATCATTTCCTTACAGAATAATCATAATGTACACAATGGTATTACTAAGGAACCTATCTCCAACTCATCCCCAGAACTATCTTTGTAATATTTTCAGATATACGTCTTTTATCACTTAGGAAGATTATGAAATATATAACATTTAATCACATTGCTATTTGGTCATATATTGATTGCTATATCAAACTCAGCTAGTCATAAGAGAACCACAACACAAACATATGTATCTAAAAAGTGAATAATTATGTCTTTTGCAGGCAATGGGGTTTCTTTTCTTTTTTTTGCTGGGAGGAGGTATTGGTACTTGGAGACAGGGTCTCACTGGGTTACTTGCGGCCTAAGGGGCTGGGGCCGGCTTTGAACTCACATGCTCCTGCCTCAGCCTCTGGGATTACAGGCATATGCCACCACACCCAGTGGCAATGGACTTTCAAATGCAATCTGAAGTATACTACTTGTTAAGAGTTATTCCACTGGAGGTGATTTGGCCATGGGTATCAGTCTTAAGTACATTCATTAAATTGATTAATTGATGAATCAATTACATGTACAAAACATATTCCTTGTGAAATTTGTCATAGCACTGCTTGATAGCAAAGAATTATAAACAGTGTCAGATAGTAGGTCATGGATATACTCATATAATGAAATATCATATTTATTAATAGGTGGAGATATGTGTACTATATGTTAGGTTTAAAAATCAGATCGAACATTTTGCATGATACAAAAATGACACATATTTACATACATATCAACATGCCATAAGATATAAGAATGGTTCTCTCTAGACAGTAAGATTACAGGCAATTTTTATTTGGAGGGGTGAGGTGAATGTGTATTTTACTCAATGAATGTTTATTACTTTTATATTTAGAAATAAAAACATTAGGAGAATCACAGAAAAGTTTAAAGAAACGTAAAATCGTTAAATAATTAAACCACTATTTAACACATCCTTCAAGTGGAATTATTTTTTTCCTTTTGCTAAACTGTATAAACATGGAATGAGATAATAAAAATGTTATAAGAATATTTCACCATAGTAAAAGGCAAACAGTGTTTACAGTTTGCCACCCCTAAACTGTGTAGAGTGAACTCATATTGTTAAATAAGACTATGTCCAATTATTCAAGGGTACCTAGTTTTTCAAAATATTGCAGCCAAATTGTACCTATAATTACATGGTAGACTTGACGTATTAAGAGGGCAGCATATTGTAATGGAACCAGTCTGATCCAGGTTAAATTCTTAGTTTTGTCATTTAAGTTTGATGTAACAATTTAAATCCTGATTCAACAAAAAATAAAACATAGGCTTCTGAGCTAGCAAACAATATTTAAAGTCCAGGTGCACACCGAGAAGGTACGATTTAATACTTATCAAGGTACATACCCCCTCTATTTACATTTTACTGATTTCCTTTTGATATCCAGAAGTTTTTCCTTGATTAATCTAAATCAGAAACTTTTATTCCCATGCTAGGAAAAAAGGTCCTTCTCAGAGTTCAATTTGGCATTGGCTAGGAAACCCCCACGGTAATACCACAAATGCTAAGAATGTTGCTCATGATTTTAGGCCAAGTCCTTTTGGTGAAAACATTTCTCCCACATAAAAAATAAAAATTTGCTTAGATTGTCTTAGACACAACCAATCATCTAAAATTAATGGATGGTTCTTTGTTTTAGTTGCTAAGATGTTCAGAAAGGATGTTCTTTGACCACCTTCTCTGAGAAATTATAGTACTTTTAATAGTTAACTCACTCTTGGGTTTTCTTTCTTTTCACCTATCATGATTCATTCCATTATCTTTAGACTTGCAACAGAGATAATACCATCCCTCATTTAAAGCTGGTTGGAGAAGTAAATGTCAAAGTGTGTAGTATACTGTGTGGGTCATATTGGAGGATCCAAGACATTAATTTCACACAACAGCCTTTAGACTTTCAAATAACATAGATTGATACAGGTTTGCTTACATAGTGCCTAATAAAATTGAACATGTTTTAAATAATGGAAATAACTGAAAGTAAACAAATATCATTGCTGGAATGAAAATGAAGCTATCTCAAACATGGAAGGGGAAAAGAAACTAGATATAACCTATATGCAACTTAAGGCCTCTCGTCTAAATTGATATATGATCTAACTTATCTCATCTATTTGATTTTTCATCTAAAAATTAGCTAGAAAACAAATATACCTTCTATTTATAAATGACTTAAATCAAGAAATTATCTTTTCAATGTATAACAATATTTAAAAATGTATAGTAAATGCTAAAACAAAACCTTGAAATATGTTAGTGATGTTCATAGAACCCAACAATGAAAGTAATCGAAGAAGTTAAAATAAAAGATAACCACCAACAACTAACAGTTTAGTAAAAACAGATTATATAAAAGCCCTTGTATTCTTCTGAATGGCTAAGGTATGGAGAAAAATGACATAGTGATGGTGATGTTGTTGATTACAGTTTTTTCTTAATTTGTTTCTATATTCTTGAAAATTTATCCACATTACACAGGAAAAATCTCACAATTCATCAGTGCAAAAATTTTATTTCTCCTTTGTTTCCCCTCCTTGCCAGTTTACAAGATCTGAACTTTAACTTAATCCACAGTATTTTTTTTAATAATCTTTAATCAGTCATGAAAAATGTGAGGGAAAAAAAAAAAAAACACTAATCAATTTAAAATCTCAGCCCCCATTCCCCAATACTACAGCAAATTTAGGATAAGCCTACAGCATTCACTTACTTTAGCTGGTTCTGATACCGAGGCATACTTTTTTATTTGAGTATCAACACCTAAAGACTTGGCTAATTGTACAGCATTTGAATCATCACTGATAAGTGTCCCAAGAGCCACAAGAAGTCTAAAAGTGGCTTCTAGGTCTTGAACAACTTCCAAGATTGTGCTAATTACTGACAAGCATTGAGCTTTCCCTTCAATGTTATGGTCTTTATGAAAACAAACAGAATAGTTCAAGGTCAATGTAGCCAGAGCAATGTGAATGTTCTTATTGCTCCCTGATTTCAGTTCTACTGCATGGGACATCAGTGATTCCCTCTGGGACATCATGAGCTTTTGTCCTGCCTGGCCAACAAAGCAATTGCAAAAAGTCCTGAGAGCAAGCAGCTGGTTTGCTGGCTTTCCTTTAGGGTTCAGTAGATTGATAAGATGACTGCTGAACTGAGCCCCTTCCTTTTCATTGCAGAAGTTTTCATTCACACTGGGATGTTTAATTGACAACCGAAGAATGTCAAGTGCAGGGAAGACAATATCTATTAAAAAGAAAATTTCATTAATGTTTATGAAAATCTAGAAAATTCCTTTGAGTATTAATAAAAAAAAAATTTGTTTTTCATTGTGGTACTGGGCATTGAACCCAGGGACACACTATCACTGAGCTACAATTCCCAGCCCTTCTTATTTTGAGACAAGGTCTTGGTAGGTTGGCAAGGATGGCCTCTAACTTGAAATTCTTCCGCCTCAGCCTCCCAAGCATCTGGGATTACACACATGTACCACCTCACCTAGCTCTTATTAAGCTTTCTTAAAGGATTATTTCTTTCTGCTACAAAATTAAGATATGCTCATCTTAGAAAATGTTAAAAAAGAATCATGTGCTTGCTCCACAAAACACATATTTTTGGAAAATACATTAGTTGGTTTTTCATATTTACTGAATTTATTGCTATAAATCCAGATATGCTATAAAATAAGGTAACTTAGCATGACACACAGTAGTCAATAATGAACTGAATTAATGTAATGGGGATTTTGTTTATAAAATTCCTATAACAATACTAATGGGTTGAACAGGGAAAGTTTTTTAGAGAACAATTCAACCAACAAATGCCATAAGAATACTCATAGATTGGTGGGAGCTTTGTAATCAAGGGATTGGATAGATACATCTGAATTCATGCAATAATCTTGGCATTACTCCAAGTGAGAAAACCTGATATTTCTGATATTATATGCACCACAATATAAAAGTAGTATGCAGCATCATTTACAAAGGATCTTAAAAAAGATAAAGGATCTTCGAAAATAAGTAATAAGCCAATGAAAATAAAATCTAATAATGCTACTAGAAAAAAAAATACAGTGGAACACAGTGAGCAATCAGTCAAATCTACCAAGTAGGACATTTTGTAGAACAAAATGACCTTTTATCCAATAAATAAATGACATGAAAAAAATGGGGGAGAGGACACTTTTGCAATTAAGATGTAAATTGACATAATAGAGAGGTTAAATATCATATAGCAAGTGTTTGCAGCCTAAGATTAAAAATCACAAAAAATTTCTTGGATCACCTGCAGGGGATGCACAAATGCTGAAATGGTATACAAACTGTTGTATATACAGGAATCATTATATGACAGACATGACAGATTGAGGGTTTTTTTTTTTTTTTTTTTCTCCCCATACTGGGGATTACACTCAGAGACACTTAACCATTGAACCAATCCTCCAGCCTTTTAAAATGTTTTATTTAATGACAAGGCCTCACTGAATTTCTTAAGGCCTAGCTAAGTTGCTGAGGTTGGCTTTGAACTTGCAATTCTCTTGCCTCAGCCCTCAGAGCTACTGAGATTACATGTATGCACCACCATGCATGGATACAGATTGAGAATTCTTAATCTGAAATGCCGAGTCTGAAATGCCAGGTTTTCAAAATGTATTTTGGATTTTGAATTTTCAGATTAAGGATGCTCAACTGGTAAAGTCTGTAAATATTTCAAAATCTGAAAAACTCCCAAATACAAAGCACTTCTGGCTTTAAGCATTTCAGATAAGGTATACTCAGCTTGTACCTTCAGATTCTCATAAGGCATGTAATCAAAACAAGATTATGAATTACAATGATATAGTGAATCCTTTGTGAAGTTTTCACAATTTGGATTCAAACTTCTCAGGTTAATTTTTATTTAATCTTGAAACACCAGTTGTAGGGATTGAAATAAAAGCTTTCTAGTTATATGTGGAAGAGTGCTTATTTACCTTCAGGCCAGTTAATAGATTTCCACAAAATCTGAAGTTGCTGGGCTGTGGGTTTCTCTGAAGAACTATTACATATTAGAGACAATATCTTTTCAAGAAGTACCAAATCATCCTCAGTTAACTTTTTCTCTTCAGGTGCAGTTCCATTAAGCTCCTTCAGTTTACCTAAAACCCAAAGAGAAATCTTCAGAATCCTCTTAACTACAGTTAGCCAGATAATCATAAAAGGCATTTTTTTTCCTTCAGTAAGAACATCCTACTGTATGACATTAAGACTTTTCTCAGCAATTGGCCTAGACCATGAAATAAAAATAAGGGTTGTGAGTATTTCTTGGCTAAGTACTATATGATTGAAAAAAAAAAAAAAGATAACTGTGATCATTTTAATTTTACCCTGTGACGCTTTCTTTTTTTAATAGAAAATGATATATTTTAATTAGTTCTAAAGTATACTGTATTTGTAACCATTTTGAATGATTTTCAAAGCAACATTATATTATATATACCCAAGTAAAAGTCAAACTCCTACTTCCCCAATGAGAAAATTTATAACAAATTTTTGGTCAAATTATGCCAACTTCTATGACTCAATGAAACAGTAAAGCATTAACTGACTTAAAATATACTGAGTTCAATATGCATATTTGACATACAATATTTTTAAAACAATAAAATATTACTTTGACTTTCGTGTTTATAATTTCCTTCAGAGTTATCACATGTATCTTTAATATCTATGTCCTTATTATCACAAAAACTTTGAGTCATCTAATATCATTTCTTCAAATATATGTACAAAAGTGTGCATATATATTTTTCTCCAAAAAAATTAAGAAAATTGCTATCAATATCAGTGATTTTTACAAAGGTAATATGAAGGATAATAGCAACCCAAACACACAAACAAAAACCCTGCCTTCTATTTAGATATAAATGTTACATTATCTCAATTAATTTTCACCATAATCTTTGTGGTAGAGATAGTAATTCTCTTAGTCTGAAACAACACTGTTAATTTGTTTTGAGGAAAAAAAAAAACATGAAAGCAATCAAAGTCATTAGAGCAGTTTCATTTTTAGTGGACAATTAAAAATGACCATTTATTATTTTTATGAGCCACTAAATTTTTAAAAATAAGATCTTTGTGGGCAGGGGATGTGGTTAAAGCGGTAGCCCGCTCTCCTGGCATGCGTGTGGCCTGGGTTCGATCCTCAGCACCACATACAAACAAAGATGTTGTGTCCGCCGAAAACTAAAAAATAAATATTAAAAAAATTCTCTCTCTCTCTTTAAAAAAAAAATAAGATCTTTGTTTTTCAAATGCTTTACTCACTTTCTTTTTTCTGACAACATGAAATGACTGTGAGGTGGAACTTATATTTCCCTCCTATAGTTTTATTCTCATTAAAGTCATAATAAAATATTTATCCTTTATTTGGTAAGGTATCTTACAAAGTATTAAGGGTCCATCACCAAGTTTTACATTTGTAGTAAATGTAGCTGTATAATACCACAATAGAAGCCTCTATTCATACAAGTACCCAATTTCTCACATTTTAGAAAAACAGCTTTCACAGTGTTTCCAACAGTATGTGGATTGTGAAAAAAATTAATTAAAAAAGGCTTACCTAATATTTGTGTAGGGTTTGCTTGGTCAAAAGTGACAGCTTCTTTTTTAGGGAAGTAAATATTCACTGTTTTAGATGCAGCTGATCTGTAGGCACTATTCCCTATTTACAAAATAAATAATCATGACAATCACAAGGAATGATCAAAAATGAGATTTTCCTAAGTTTGTTTTCACAAGTACTGAGATATATAATTACTAGTGCATGTAATAAAAACATGTAACTTAAAAAAAAAAAAAGCCCATCCACAAGAAATATTTGTTGATATAAACATTTTTGCTTTGGAAAATGGAAGCTTACATGTAGAAGAAGGCCTTTAGTTTTTATATTTTCTACTTTCTGTTTTAAGGATTTAATTGAAATTGTGTATTTTTAAACGATCAAAAAACGCAAAGCATAGGCTGGAGTTGGAGCTCAGTGGTAGAGTACTTGCCTAGCACACGTGAGACACTGGGTTTGATCCTCCTAAGCACCACATAAAATCAATAAGTAAAGGTATTGTATCTGTCTAAATGCAAAACAATTATGAAACTTTCCACTCCTATCTTCTTTAACATAATGATCTCTCCTTTCTCATATCTTTTACTGTTTACTCTAAATGATAGTCATTGTCATTTTCTCTAATCACTTTCTATATCTTCTTTATAAATTCCCAAGTAGCAAATTCCTGTATTCTTTTAAACATTTTTATTTCATTAAGTCTCTATTACAGTAACCAAAATTCAGTATCTGATGATAAAGGCTGGCACCAGATGACAATTCAGTTAATTCAATGGAATAAAATTATTTCAATGAAAGTATAATTTAAATCTAATTTATTTTATTTACTTACATTTTTTCCTATACTGGGATTTCTTTTGAGAAAACAAAAAAATGACACGAAAGCAATCAAAGTCAATAGAGCACTTTCATTGTTAGTGGACAATTAAAAATGACCATTTATTATTTCTATGAGCCACTAATTGAAAAAAAAGATTTTTAATTTTTGAATTTAAAAAAACCCAGAACCCAGGGGCATTCTATCTCCGAGATATAGCCCCAGCCCTTTATTTATTTTTGAGATAGGGTCTCACTAAGATACCCAGACAACCTCAAATTTAGGATTCTCCTGTCTCAGCCTCATGAGTAATTGGGATTACAGGTGTGTGCTACCTCATTTGGTTTTAATTTATCTTACTTAACATTTTAAATCTTTATTTATACTCCATTTTTGTTCTAATGTAAAACTAAGGTATTTTGCAAAAATTATGACAGATTTAATATTCTGATTATATAAAGGATAGAAAGGAGTAAAGGCAAATAAAAATACACCAAGTAATAAGTGTACAAAATGAATTCTATTTGTTAAGTATAAAACATTCATTGACATGATCAAAGATGGACCATAAAGACACTACCTGCACTCCTGGTTGTTACAGTCTACAAGCTGTGATAAGGACAGTATAAATAAATATCCAAATAATTAAGTACAATAAAATTATCTGAAGGAAAAATACAGAATTTAAAGAGAGCATGATAGAATGGTGATATGGCAAAGGACACATATAGGTGTGTGTAAGGGGGTGTTAAACAATCAATAACATAACAAAGCAAAGGGTTTAAGTATCCCCAAACAAAACTGTGTTCAAAGCTCCTGAAGTAGAAAGCAGCATACCATGCTCAAGAAACTGATCAACAGAGTGAACTGTAAAAAGATCACTGGCTGCAGTATGGACCACAGACCAGTTTGGAGGCATTTCATTTATCTAGGTGACAGGTTGGACTCAGGTATATAAAGGTCCAGTTTAGATACAAACTACTAAAAACTAACATCTGGAAAATGGGAAGGAACGTTGTTAATTTAAGCCTGTTTTTTGTTATAATACATAATTTAGCAATTGTCAAACACATTCTACAAAAATCTGCTTACATAAATTTTGTTTTTTTGGCTTTTAATAATTCTAGGAGGTAGATATTATCTCAACTTTGCAAATGAGAAAAGCAGAGGCACAGATACATCAAATAGTTTTTTCATGGTAAAACAGACAAAAAGAAGCAGATTTGAATCTAAGCATTCTCATTCAGGAATCCATAATTTTAATTATGTTATGCTTTAATATTGCCAATCAATGTTACTTCTAAAATTAAAAATCAGCTTATAAAATCATATGCCAAGCTATTCTTAAGTAGAGTGATGACCTTATGGGAACTTCTTTTATGCTGCTTGTATAGTATGTGCTATTCAAATTATTATATACATATGCATATAAATATGGATATATTTTCACATACATATCTATAATCACACAAAACATAAAATAGTAATTACATGGTAGTAGTAGCAATTACATGCCCAGAGATCTGTCAACCTTGATAGAGAAGAATCACAGACACAGCTTTACATTTTACAGAAATACAGAAAACAGAAAAACATGCCTGCATATATTTAGTGATGAGCTGTATCACACTCTAGGCTAGATACATAGGATAAAAAGACATTAGTTGCTAAGAAGAAGGTCAAATATCTCATGCCTAAATCATAAAAACAAAGTTTTTTTTAGTCTTCTTAAAGAAAACAATGGATAAGCCAGGTGTGGCATGCCTATAATTCCAGCAGCTTGGGAGGCTAAGGTAGGAGGATCACAAGTTCAAAGTCAGCCTCGGCAACTTAGTGGAGATCCTGTCTCAAAAAAAAAAAGAACTGGGGATATGGTTCAGTGGTTAAATGCTCCTGGGTTCATTCTCAGATACAGGGGAAAAAACAAACAATGGATAACAATAAAGTGAATAATACTCTCAGCATATTAAGGAAGAATGAAGGAACAGAGATTGGAATAATTCTCAGATACAGGGGAAAAAAACAAACAATGGATAACAATAAAGTGAGTAATACTCTCAGCATATTAAGAAAGCATGAAGGAACAGAGATTGGAATAAATATAGATTCTTCTAAGGGTAATGAGAAGCCCAACTTACTACACTAGTTTTCAATTCTTGGTGCATATTAAAATCAAATTGAAAGTTTATTAAACTAACTTTGTCAAGGTCCTAACCTAGAGCAATATTAAACCACTGAACATCTCTGGGGATGAGCTTGAGCTTATTCTTTTTAAGCTTCCCAGATGACTCTAATGTGTAGTAAAAGATAATTCTAACAAAATTCTAAAAGCCAAGCCAAGAAAATTATTTACTATGAAAAGATTTCTCAATCAAGAAAACGATACAAATTTTCTTACTTTTCCATTAAAAGTTCCAATGAATTCTAAAAATTAAGAGAGAGAAAGAGAAAAAAAAAGAGAGAGAAATATTAAGAGTATATACCTGTAAATGGATCAACTCCAGTCATGTTAGTAGTGCCCATACTTGCAGAACCTGGCACATAACGACCAGCACCTGCAATGTAATAATACTCCTGGTAAGCAAAAGTAACTACAAATTATAAAGTCCATACTATTCTTTCTTTACATAACTTATTTTTAGTATTAGACATACTTCCAGAATAGCACCTTTATATACATAATAAATGTGCTATAAAATTTAATACAGAAAATAGAGTGGTGCATTGCATATAATAAGTGCCCAATAAATGTTAAGTAAAAAAGTAATTTTCAAGTGACAAAATAAACATTGGATGTCTTATACATTATAATTATAGAAATTCAGGAAGTTACAAAAACAAGTGGATTAAAGAGAAAGCTTTCCAAAATGAAATGTGAACCCTATACTAAAAAAGAAAAGAATAAGGCTACCTGCGAGCACATAAGACAATTGGAAGAGACTTAGATAATAGTTAGGGGTGCTATGACAACAGCCCAGTTTACATTTGAGACCATACTTGTGGCTGTCTTATTGAAGGAAGAAAGGAAGATAGGGAGGAAGGAGAGAGGGAGAGAGGGAAAGAGCAGAATTAGCAAGAGTTGGAGATGTTCAGAGGACTGGATTAGCCTTTGAGTGAAGGAGGAAGATGAGCTCATGTTCCGGCCTGAGTTTGTATATAATGTAGGAGTTGCTATAATCAGTGTGACATACACAGAAAACATAAAAAAAAAAACTATAACAAAAAATAAAATTAAAAAAACGATAAACAAAAGCCAAGTGTGGAGGCACATGCGTATATCTGCAGGAGTATGAGGCAGGAGGATTACAAAATCAATGCCAGTCTCGGCAATTTTCTGAGCCACTGTCTCAAAATTTAAAAAAAAAAAATTAAAAAGGGTTGGAGATGTAGCTCAGTGGTAGAGTGCTCGCCTAGCACATGAGGCCCTGGGCTCATTCTCCGTACTGCCAAAAATAATAACAACAACAATGAAACCACAGATAAGTAGATTTGTTGAGCATTAATTATGTCAGCCAGCATGGTAAGCATCTTATATGCACATTCATTCAAATATTAACTAAACACCATTATAATTCACAATATTTTAGGTTGAATAACTTGCCCAAGGCATTATGCTATTAAAAAGCAGACTATAGTCCTACACTTTTCTAAATGTGTTTTCTGATCACCTGAATCAGTTACCTATTTAATAGGCAGATTCCCAGAGTCTACTCATAACATAGTACTCTAAATTGGTGCCCCTCTAGAAACAAATAGGGAACTTGTAGAGATACATTAGAGCAAACCAGAACTAAGACCATTTAATCAGAATCCTTGGGTGAAGGATTAAAGTATAAGCATTTTTAATCTCCCCACTAATTGAGGGAATCAAAATCTCTGGGGGTACAACATTGGGATAATTAATTTAAATAAGTTTCTTAGATCATTCTAATAGACATAAGAAATGTGAGTAGTGCATAAATTAATAAGAAAAGAAAAATGAATTACGGTTGATTTAAGGTGTAAGCCATATGGGGAAATTTGGGGCCTCAATGCTATTTGGGGGTGCAACATCAACAATAATAATATAGCTAATATATATTGATTCCTTATATATATTTCAAGCTTTTTTTTTTTAAAGAGGGGGGTGGGGAGAGAGAGAGAAATTTTAATTTTTTTTTTTTTAGTTTTCAGCGGACACAACATCTGTTTGTATATGGTGTTGAGGATCGAACCCGGGCCGCACGCATGCCAGGCGAGCGCGCTACCGCTTGAGCCACATCCCCAGCCCTGTATTTCAAGCATTTTGCTAAACATTTTATAAGTATTTTGCCATTTAATTTTCATATCTCAATATGGTATGTGCTCTTATCTAATTTTTTATATAAGTGTAGTTCAATGATCATAAAAACAATTCTCTTAGACATTTAGTATGTTATCTGCATATCTATACAATTACTGCATTTTCTGTTACTGACACTGTGCAACAGTGAGACATGCTCTGGTTATGATGAATGGTTCCAGGAATTCTTTTGATATTGTTGGTAACAGAAAAAAGCCACCAGTGATATTTTTGGAACTCTGTTAGAATAATTTTCAAGGCATCACTGTTCCAGAACTGCTGATAAAGTCATCAATTATCCACTCTTTAGGTCTTTTGAAATTACATTATGTCATCAAAGACTTCCTTAATAGTCAAGGTACTGCCACATCATTTGGCTTGATACTTCGTTATTTTAGTACACTGGCTATCAATGCATAGGGTGTAACTACTTTTGTCTGGGCCACCAGTTCATCCACAAGAAAAAGGAAGCTCATTGAGAGCAATTCACAATTTCACGACACTGACCTAAGGTTGTGTGTTGGCCCAATCTATGGCTGAGCAGATCGTATTTTTATAGCCCACAGTACTAAGACTGTAAGGCCAGAGGATTCCATAAAGGCTATGAATCTCTTCTCAAATTTGGTACATTGTCCAAGAACTCTGCCTGAAGATCCAACAACAGCATCACAAAAGATATCAAGAGCCATTCTGAAATACAGACTTCTTCAGCTACATTAAAGTCCAACTCTGGTGATTTTTTTCCAGTAGTATTGACACTGAGGCTTGCATACCTCAGTAAGTAATTCACTCTCATGAGATACAAAGACACTTCATGGGCTGCAGGAAGGCCATTAATAATTTAGATTAGGAAGACTAATCCTGGGCAGTCAGGTGAAATGTCTCCTCCCACGCTAAGTAAAATATGCCTGGGCTGACTTCTTGATTGCATTGCTCCATCCAATATCAGGACTCACACAGCTCCTTCTCTGCTTGTAACTGGTAGCATCTCACCAATGATGGCGCTCATGCTGTGTCTTGGTTGATGGGCTCCCCTATTATCTAATTTCACAGATAAAAAAAATAGGCTGAGATAGGTTAAGTAACTTGCCAACTCCTCATAGCAAGTAAGTGGTAGAGCCAGATTTTCAACCAAGGTCTGTCTGACTCTAAAACCTATATTCTTGTACTATTCTACTCTCCTGGCAGGAAGAACCATGGGAGAAAATGATGGGTTCTAAAAATAGGCTATTCAAGAATCATAAGGAGATCTACAAAATTATTCCAGGAAAAAGCAAAAATTAGAAGTTAAAGAAAAGGAGATCAATCAAAATTGAAAATGTAGTTAAGGGAAATTATCAGTTACTAGATAATACCTCTAAAATGTAAAACCACATAATGCAAAATGCTTTATCTATGTGGTAAAGAAGAATATGTTAAAACTGCATCCCACCTGTAAAAGGATCTGCTGTTGGCAGAGTGTTGGATGATCCTGAAGAGCCTGGAACATACCGACCACCACCTGTGTGTAGAAAATAAAGGAAAAGCTGACGTATACCAAAATTCTGAATTTCATAAACAGTATAATACTTACATTAGAAAAACCCAAACTTGTAGAAAAGCTGAAGAGAAAAGCTGTCACATGAATACAATAGAGCATTACGGCTGGGGAGAAATTAAAATTTTAGTGATTCTCTTAAGTTTTGTTTTCTTAAACTTTAATGCTTTTTTTTTTAATCTTGGCCCCAGCGTGTAAATATTAAAATAACTGGTATTCTAAAATAAAAAGAATTGCAGGTGATCTCTGACCTAAATAATATACACATATAGTAAATTCCTGTTCTTATACAAATTCACTAGAATTCCTGCTGTTGCTGTAGCTATCAAAACCACAGGCATTGAATGTTAATCTTTTAGAGAAGCTCTGGTTCATTAATTCAGGTGTCAAACAGTAGACTCAGTTCCAGGGATCCAGCAGGGAAGAAAAATTGCTTATATCCATTGAAGCTTATAACTAACTAGTGGTGGAAAGAATTACAAAGGGTAAGAATGCTACCAAAAAAATATTTCCATTTATACATTTACAAGCATACAATATATGAGAATACATGTTGTGTTAGTAGCTCTAGGGAAATAATCAGGTTGTCCACAAAAAGATATGTAAGAATGTTTATAACATCTGGGAAGAGCAAAATAAGCCAAAGAGTTGCTAGGTTTCCAGGCACAACCAACTGCCTTGATACCTGCCCTCATCCCACATTAACCAGCATTGCAGGGAGAGTTTATTATTTTGAGAGTTCATTCTTTTGACCCGAGGCTGAACTTTCAACAAGAGAAATATCCAGGCACTAAGCATCTAATTTTTTTTTTTTTTCTTTTTGTGTTAACTGCATGTATTTGGAGGGCTAAATCATTTTTAGTTCAGTAGTAAATTACTTTGTGAATTCTGTTTAAGCCAACATGCATGTGAGATTAGTTTTATTTTTATAAATGGGCAATCTACATTGGGTTAGAAGGAGAAGAGAGAAAATGTGGAAACATGGAGTACCCAAAAGAGAAGAACAGATCTATGTAAGAATTTGAGACAGGAAGAGGCTATGGGTTTTTGTAGATCAAGGGAATCACTACCATGTGAAAAATTAAGTCAGTAAGACAATGGGGAGCTAGGGATATAGCTTAATAGCAGAGTACATGCTAGCATATTGAAGGCCTTGGTTTTAATCCCCAGCATCTCAGTATCTCCCCCTCTCTCTCTCACACACAAAGAAACGACAACAACAAAAAAATTAACAATAAACTACCTATTTCAAATTTTTATTTAGAGTAGGCCTTAAACAAAGATGCAGCATTCTGTTTCCTCAGATTCCTAGATCTAGAACTCAGGGTAATACTACTAGGATCATAATCTACTTTCTGGGAGCCAAAATTCAGACTAATGCTAGTTTTACTAATTATTAGTATTTACTAATTATCAGTAGTAATTACTAGTATTAGTAAGCTAATTCTAATTAACTTAATTAGTATTAGTAGTAATCTTTTAAAAATCTAAAAGATTAGCATTTAATGCCCATCGTCCTGATAGCAACAGTGAAAGCAGGAATTTTAGTGAATTTATATAGGAATGGGATAGGAATTGATTGTACATTATTTAGGTCAGAGATCACCTGCAATTCTTTTTATATTAGATTATAGTGATTTTAATGTTTATGTGCTGGAACCAAGACAGAAAACCATTAAAGTTAAGAAAATAGAACTTAGAAAAAAAAAAAAAATCACTGGAATTTTAGTTTCAGGCTAATACTACTTTACAGACTGGCATGCTCTCCTAACCCCATTTATAACATTTCAGATACTACATAAAATGTTAAAAACTAACTTGAAATAAGCATGTGGAATGCAAATCACAATTCAGCCCTAGAGTTGATGTACAACTAACTAATTTACCTTCATGTGAAAATAATTTCTTTTGTGTGTTGTACTGGGGATTGAACCCAGTGAAAGGGGTGTTTTACCACCAAGCAACATCTCTAGACCTTTTTAATTTTTTTAGTTACAGATGGACCCAATACGTTTATTCTATTTATTCATTTTATGTGGTGCTGAGGATCAAACCCAGTGCCTCACAAACGTGAGGCAAGCGCTCTACCACTGAGCCATAACCCCAGCCCTAGACCTTTTTATTTATTTTGAGATGGGGTCTCACTAAGTTCTCAAGGTTGGCCTTGAACTTGGGATCCTCTTGCATCAGCCTCCTCAGCTGCTGCCACTATACCCAGTGAAAACAATTTCATTTTACTAAGTATTACTATAAAATGGAAACTAAGGTGCATGCCTGGAATCAAGGCAGCAACTAAAAAGGCTTAAGCAGATGGATCACAAATTCCAGACCAGTCTTTGCAACTTAGCAAGGTCTCAAGCAACTTAGCAAGACCCTGTCTCAAAATAGAAAATAAAAAGGGCTGGGTATGTGGCTCAGTGGTTAAGTATCGCTGGGTTCAACCTCTGGTAACAACAACAACAACAAAAGGAAACTAGGGTCTAGGTGCATTGCTTAGCAATAGAGTACTTGCCTAGCATGTGGGAGTCTCTAAAAGCACCCCAGCACAACAGGGGAACTATATAAAGGAACTTAGAAGTTTCTTTTTATTTCAAATGACTGAATCAAATTTTCTTAATTTATTTAGTTTACAGTGAGGCTGTATTTTTGAAAGAATAATTATTTCTAAACACAGAATTGTATAATTCAAGGGTTAAAAATATATCAATCATAGATGTGAGGTAAAAATCCCTTGTAGATTTTTAAAAAGAATTTAAACAGCTAATCATAGTTTTAAACACATCAGAAAAAGTCAACCAAGCTGCTGATATAGCTCAGTGGTATAGCATGTGCTTAGAAAATGCCCAAGGCATTTGGTTTAATCACCACACCCCTCAAAAAGGTCAAAGTCAAAAACTAACTCTGATTGTTTGGATCTGGAATATCCTCCAAAGGTTCATGTTTAAAGCTTAGTCCCATAATCAGAGGGGGCTTTTGAGAAGTGATTAGATCACAAAGACTCTAACCTCATCAATGGATTGATATAGTTCAACAGACTACTGGGGAGGTGTTGGAAATTATAAGAGGTGGTACCAAGGGACTTTGTCTTTAAGGCATGCCCTTGGGGACTATTTCTGGTCCCTGACCCCTTTCTCTTGCTTTCTCTCTGCTTCCTGTCTGCCATGGGGTAACAGCTTTGCTGTATCACACCTTCCCCACATCATGATGTGAATCAATACAACCAATGACCATGGACTGAAATCTCTGAAACCCTGATCCTAAAAACAATCTTTCCTCCTCTAAGTTAAAATTTTAGGTATTTAATCACAGTAACAGAAAGCTAACACAGATGGATATGAGTTAATACAAACCCTAACTTACCTGTAAATGGATCTGAAAAACTGGTATTCCCAAGTCCCAACATTTGTCCTTTTGTGTTATCAATAATAAATTTAGCCACCTGATCTAAAAACATGGGATTCAAATCATTCTTCTGTAAGAAATTATATGCGGTTAGCCAGGGATCATCACTGGTATTGTATGGCAATTTATATGATGGTCCACCTTCATTGACATCAATTGAGAAAACATAATCAAATTCCTATAATGGGAACATTAAAAAAAAAATTTCATATGTTAGTGATATATATAACACAGAGGTCAATGTGTTCTTTATTTTAATAATTACAATGCCTAAACTTTCTCCAAAGTGCAATGCTAAAAGCTTCCTCTTTGGCAGATAAAGATTAACTGTAATTTTATGTGCTGTAAGATTAGTATTTCACAGGGGGTGGGGAGAAAGGAGATGGGAAATGGATTATAACATTAATTCTATTAGACAAAGGAAGAACCAAAGGAAGATTTCCAACTGGTTCATCTCAAGAGAAAAGTTATCAGCTGTTTGGTACCCTACTCACCAAAACCTGCTGGCATTATAAGCACTGCCCTGCAGGATCCCTCAAGTCTTGTCAAGTTAAATACACCCAGGCATTAAGCAATAGATGTAGCATTAGATGAGAGGTGGAACAGTAGTCCCCAATCCAAAATTAGTGGGAAAAGTTATGTATGGGAATTCTAAAAGACAGATTATGGCTAACTTGCCTATTAAGTGCAGTTTCCTCTACATGGAAGACATATTTTAAAAATCTATTTCAAGACAGGTAAAAAGATAATTTTCCCACAGTAATATAGTTTTCAATGTCAAAGCACCAAAGAAAAATTTATCAGCACAGGGAAAAAAATACCTATAATTTGTCTAATAGTCTAAGATAATGATAGTTAGAAAGTACTTTAACATACTTTCCCTTCATATAAAACTTTTCCAGATGTTTGCTGAGTAGCACCAGAAGAGCCAACAACATCACCAATTTTTATCCACCTTCCTTCACTAACACTCCACTGATAGGCTTCGACTCTGTCCCCATCTCTGATTAGACGAGTTTGTCCTTCTCTAGTACCTTAAAACAAAAATTGTAAGAATCAAAAGTAGAATGGCAGAGTAAAATTTGAAAACATTTAGAAAGAAAAATTTTAATACTAAAATTTATACATGAGATTTAAAAGAGAATTTTATTTTAGTAATAATTCTAGTAGAAAGTGACCAAAGGAAAATAATGGTTGTAAAGAAATTTTACGAAATAATACAAGGCTTAAAAAATGTGATTCTAAGCTGGGCATGGTGACACATGTCTGTAATCCCTCTCAGCTACTGAGAAAGTCGAAGTAGGAAGATCATAAGTTTAATGCCAGCTTGGGCAACTTAGCAAGACACTGTCTCAAAATAAAATAAAATAAAATATAAAAGGCTGAGAACATAGTTCATTGGTAGTGTACTACTAGGATGTGGGAGACCTCTAGGCTTAAATCCCAATACTTATTAGCAAAAGAAAAAAAAAAAAAAGATTCTGCTAGAGAGCTAGCAATTTTACCCACTATTGCCTTTGCATCCTAAGTGCAAACCTTTACAAAATATAAAAAGGCAAATAACATCTACTATCATAAAAGTAGCCTTGACCTCATGAGCATCCTAACAAATTTCAGATCCCCAGGGTTCTATGAATCTAGTTTTGAGAAGTGATGATGTAATGGGTCAGGGATATATCCATAAGATTTTACTTGAGATGACTTTTGTTCTTGGATTTCAAACTCAAATGATCCCTAACTTGTAGACATTACTATATTTGAATTCACTTTTGTGTTTAGTCTTTATAACTCTTTCAGGGAATTCGATTAGCCAAAAAGTATTACCTATGTATTTTTCAAGTTTTTACTATTTTTGAGCTAAGTGTTGAGATTCTTATTAAAAGGAAAAATTCCTGATGGGAAGCATCACTCAAAGTCTATACTGTGAGATAGGTGCAAGAGCAACATAGTTTCTCATAGCAGTTACCTGTGGTAATAAAAATTCACAAAAAACAGAATCTGGCAATGAGAATAACAATGAAACACTAGCAAAACAACATTTTCTCCCTTCTTATCTGTTCTTAGTATTCCCAAAGGCAAATGTGGTGACATTTTAAACTGCTATTAGAAACACTGCAATATTTACCAGGTTCATTCAGATGTTCCCTCCCAGGAAGCTGTTCAGCATTAATGTCCCCTAAATCACCAGTTTTGGAATCAATGGTTGCCTGAGAGAGCTCTTTTTCAAAAGCCTTGATTTCTTCAGCACTTGCTATCCGATCCTCTGATTCTGTAAACACTCTAATAATACCATCACTATTAAAAAAAAACAAACACAATGATTTTAAAAATCATTGCCATAGTATATCAACATTCCACACCTGAATGATCCAAAGCAAAAATTCATTTGTGAATATGAGAAATGTTACTATGTATTTATTTATAGCACTATACTGACCCCAGCACATTACTCTATATTATAAATTACTGAAAATGGACACAGAAATACATATTTAATATAACTTTTAAATATTTACTTACCATCATAACAATTACTAGAATTATGCAATTTACTTTTAAAGTCAACATTACATAGGTTTTTTTACTATAAAGAAGGATAGTGCACTGGTTTACTTTATACAAGGCTCAAAGACCCACCCTAATACTTATAAAATAAAAGATGTTCAATAGGGAAGCACGGGCTTTATTTACCTTACTAGTACTGAGCAGTAACCTCAATCAAAGAAAAACAATGGCCTTAAGTTTAGACTGCAAAGCAGCCCTCAAACTTTATTCCCGAAAAAAATCACTCCATTTCTATGGTTCCTCAATTCTAAATTTTGAAATAGGAGAGCCAAGTTAGCTACTTTCAATTGTATTCATCCCACTCAATTCCACAGAATCTTCTATGTAAATCAATTTCCCTCTTTCAATTGTTTTTTCTTCAACTTCTAATATGCTTAGTGGAAAATAAAACTAAGCCAACAAACCAACCCTTGACTTGGCAAAAAAAAAAAAATAAATAAGAGAGTTCTATTTCATTAAACCTGTATTTCTTACAGCTATCACATTTTTCCCATTACCTTCAATGCCAGAGTAATCTGTAATCCTTTCTTTCATCCATCTCTCAAACAACTCTTTATTTCCTCTTACGATTTTTTCTATCATTTTCTACCAAAGTAGGACATCAAAAGAGTTACTAATAACAATTTTTAAACTAAATCCTAATGCTTTTCTAATTTTCAATTCCCTCACACCTCTAGCATTTTCTTTTTTCCACACTGATGATAATCTCCCTCCAAAATCTCTCCTTTGCCATCTCCCTCCATTTCATCATCTGGATTCCTTTGTACAATTTAACATACTGGCCCCATCTATCCACAGTGTATTGCAAGATTCGGTTCCTAGTGTTCTCTTCTTCCTCTGTACATCTTCCCTCAGAAAAAGGTGATCAATAGTTTGTTTATGGCAGTTTTAGATAAATCTTTACCTTAGTTTCAGTTCTTAAACTAGGCTCCAACTGTCCATGATCTACTGGCATGGATGTAGCTGACCAACACTCAGAGGAAGTCTAAAGCCAAAGTTATAACTTTTGCACCAAATTAATTGTCCCACTTTCCCATTTTTATTGATGGGAATTGCCAGCCACCAAAAGTTTAAAGTATTATCTTTTCCTTTCATTCTTATTCTCATAATTTTTGTCTGAATTATCTTATTTATTTCTTATCCAGTGCCATTGTGGGATCACTGATTTTTAACTTCACATCTTACTGCTGCAGTTGATTTCTAGTTTGCTTTCCTGTCACATCACATCTAGTTAAATTTAAGATATATATTTAATGACACACAAGGTTCACTTTAATAATATCATTTCTTGCTTGAGCATTATAACACCTTAACCCTAAACTACCAATGTGAAAAATAGCTGGTTTTCAAGGTTTCCCACAGTTAAGCCCCATCATATCCACTATTTAATGTTCCCAGCCTTAGTTTTTCATCCTTTTCCCTCATCTCCTCTGAATATCACATTGACTCCATAGAAGCTTATATCTTTTGTTGGAAATTCTAATTTCCTTTCCTACTCATTAACCTTCAAAATTCAATTTGAATTTCTTCTTCTTCAGAAAATTTTCCCACACCAATTTTTACATCCTCTAACTTCTTTTACATTCAATGTTTGGACGGTACAACTTTTAGTACAATACTTGTATATCATGTATCATTAGTGTAATACATGTGTCATTAGTGTAATAGTTGTTATTCCTACTTTGTTCAATTAATGGAAATATGCAGTCTTCTCATTTCACCTGCTATTCCTATGGCTTACCTCTGTACACTCTAGTGCCTATCATAGGCCTAGATACATAAAATTTATTGACTGACTAGAATATAAATACCTCGCACCAACCACAATGTCACCATTGTCCAGCACACAGCAGCACCATATAGACTGAGCTGGAAGTCGGATTGTTTGAGCACATTCTCCTTGTTTCCAGATTCTCAGAGATCTGTCTTCTGCTGTTGTCACAAAATCTAAAATTAATGAAAATGGGAAAAAAAAAAACTTGTTTAGACATAAATAATAACCTTTATAAACAACATCTTTCTAGATATACAGATCTTTTAAATCTCAATGTGTTTTAAAATTAGTTTTAAGTTTTATATTAGTCAATTATATACAACTTCAAAAATCACGTTTTAATTCCTTCACATCTTATAAACTATACCATGTACCAATGAATTACAGAAAGTCATTCCTCAGATACTTGTGAACATTTTATAATACAACCACTAATCTGAATTAATATAAAGATGGCAATATAATTTTCTCCACTTGGGAAAACAGATACTTAGGAAATATTTAGTTAACAATAAGCTGATTTAAGTAAGCAGCCCTCCTGTCCTCAGCTCAAGAGTAGAATGAAATAACGCACAAAACAAAATTTTAATACAGAGAATACACTACTCTTACCTTTACAATTAGGAAAGACAGATATGCTATAAATATAATTTGTATGTCCATAATATACTTCAACACACTCGCCAGTGATTTGCCATCTTCTAATACTAGCATCATTTGCACAGGAAAGAAATTCTGTTTCACTCAAAATTGCCAAACCTCTTACACAGTCTTCATGCCCTGCATTAAAAAAAAAAAAAAAAAAAAAAAATGTATCCTATGCTCAATGGCTCCATAGAGTTTACTAAAATTATAAAACATATTAGCAGTAAAAACTGATTTTTCAAGTTACAAAATTTTCCTTTTTTCTATAGAAAAGCCTGGTAATCAAAATTTGTATTTCAGTTATGGCAATATTTTCTATTCTTCAGAAGTTATTTTGCTTCAATCACATTGTTTTCTAAATTATTTCCTAAAACCTTTCAGAGACAGTATTTTGACTCCAAAAATTCTTCATGTTCACCTGACAATTCCTTTTTAATTTTTTGCCGTAGTCCGGCTGCAGCAAACTAACCGGGGGGTGACGAGCAACTTGTGTAGGTTGATACAGCAGGAGTGGGAGCCATTTATTGTAGGACAGGAGGGGTATATATACCTTACACACAGCTTATCTTAATTAACATAAACTAGATACAGCAGTCAACCAATAAGGAATCTCCACACTTAATGGCTCGCTGGCATTACTTCACAAACCACTCCCTCTGCAAAATGCCAGGTGCCATCTTGACTTGTTTACAGACTCTAACAATTTTTCTTTAACAAGAATAATTCATAAAAGTCACAATATTCAAATATATCAAAATATATATTAAAAAGTAAGTGTCTCCTAAGTTTAAGGACAAAACATTTTCTGATGTTGTGACCTAATAAAGAAAATGAGAAAACAAAACTTTCATGTTCAGTATTTGTTGATTTAGATTCGTTATCCTAAATTAAAGACTTGATATATAAATTGTAAATACTGATGCAGAAAACAGAGGGATACTTAATTATAACTTATTATTTTCCACCTATAGTTACTTTTATGTGTATAAAGGGACTTTTTACTTTTATTTTTTTCAAAGTATTATCCAGGGTAGTGATGAACAAAAACTTACACCGAAATTAAATACCTCTCAAATAAATAAATCAATTATATTAATACTAGACAGCAGAGGGGCCAGGGCTCAATCCCCAGCACCAAAACAAACAAATTATTAAAACTTAGACAGCAGATACCTCAGTGTAGTTGTATTCTATGGAAACCCACAAGATTAAAAAAAAATCTAAATTTTATTATTATTAAACAATGTACTTCAACAAAATAAAGACAATAATGATGCTTTCACTCAGTTAAAGATTATACTGCTGACCTACCATCAGTAAGGATGCTTCAATTTTTCAGCCTGAACCTGTTAAAATGACAATAAAAAAAAAAAACACAAAAAAGCAAACACATTTTATAGCATATCAGACAACTTTTTATTAGTCTACACTTGATTGTTTTATGAGAGGGTTCATTATAACATTAGAAAAAATACTAAACAGTAACTGTCAGAAAATTACATTTGTCCAAATTAACTGGCTCATAAATACTGATATTTTTCAAATGTCATTTTTAAGCTTCTAATTTGTTGAGAAAAATATCATCTGAGCAACTAAGAAGTAATAATAATGAAACAATATAATAAATTTAATTATAATTAAATTGTCTACCCCATCTTACCTGAAAAAGTCCTCTCACACCTTCCAGCCTTCCACAGCTTAATAGTTTTATCTGCTGAACCAGTTAACATTAAGCCCTGTTCAGGTAAAATCTTTACTGCCCATACAGCAGCAGTATGACCCTGTGGGTAAAATGGGTATCAGTTTAAGTTGCATAGAATTATCATACTTGTTTATTATCTAGAATATTCACACAGACATACTGTACCTGTAAGGTCATCATGCATTTGTCATTCAGCCAGACTTTAGCAGTTGTGTCCCATGAGCCACTAAGTAATGTCCCAAATTTCCCAGATGATAAACTACAAACTAGGGAGAAAAAGTCATTAATTAATACATTTTCATAGAGAAAAAATGCTTAACCTTGCAAATTATTAAAGTATTGCAATTTAATTTTTTATTTTGTAGTTGTAGATGAACAGAATGCCTTTATTTTATTTATTTTATGTGGTGCTTACAATCGAATCCAGTGCCTCACACATGTTAGACAATTGCTCTGCCACTGAGCCCAATTATTGCAATTTTAAAAACACTTTGTGAAGTGAATAGCCAACTGAGGTTCAACTCAATAGAGATGAAGAATGCAGTGGTCAAGAGCACAGGCTCTGGTGGCAGAATGCTTGGATATAAACAAACTGTGTGACCATTGGGATAATGATGCTTAACCTTAGATTCCTAGTCTGTAAAATGAGGGAACAGGACTAACTGGGCTGCATAATTCCTTCTGGCTCTAAGAAACAACCATAGGAAGATAATGCAGGTGATTTTTGAAACCCTGTATATGTAAATATTATGGGTCACTTTCAAGAAAATGACAAAAATGAAAACAAAACAAAAACCTGCAGCCAAGATCAAAGTTCAACAGTATTAGAATAGTTAATTAAATGTTTTACTATCTCAATGTAAAATTATGCAGGCTCAAAATCATAAATATTAAAAATTATCTTAGAGGGCTAGGGTTGTGGCTTAATGGTAGAGCGCTTGCCTACCAAGTGTGAGGCACTGGGTTCAATCCTCAGCAGCACGTAAAAATAAGTTATTATGTCCATCAAAAGCTAAAAATATATTTTTTAATTATCTTAGAAAAGGACGAGTATTCCAGAGAATCAAAGCAAAGCCACAAAGAATAAGGGTTGTAACCTCTCTTGTAGGATCAGGAGGAACTGATCAAAAAAATCTCTTTCAGAGTAGGAGGTTCTTGAAATAATCACTCCTTTGAATTTCAGAATGGCAATAGACAAGAAACTGCTATTTTGCACTGTTTCTTTTTCTTAATAGGAATGTTTGCTCTTCCCCATTCCATAATAGTATACAAATATGGGTGATATAGGTGCTTTTAGCTCACAGATCTCTGAATTAAAGAGGAACTACATATAGACCTGATGTAGAAACACCTAAACAACATTTCCCTGATTTTCAGAATACTATACATCACTTCGAAGTACTTAACTTTGGGCTTTATGCTGTAACTGGGTGGGAATTTGGACTGTTTGGGAGGTGGGTGTATTTTGCCTGCAGAAGGGAGAACAATCTAAGTAGCTAGGGACCAGAAGGCACACTGCGGTAGTTCTCCCTTTTCAAGCACATAAGGGGATGGTATTTTCCTCCTGTATATGAAGTTCTCCTTTCATTGCTGCAAGAACTGCTGAAGCACAAGTAAAGATAAAGCCCCTATCAACCTGAGTCTCTGAGAAAATCTGGCAGCATCCCTTTACTAATTCATGTTGAACATGTAAGGTGAATGAGATATATTCTGTATTATGTCACATCTGGGAATTATTTGTTACTATATTGTATAAGAACCTCGCCTACCCTGATTTATATGTTAAAACATTTGAAAAAGTAAGTGCTTCCCAGACCTCCTGCAACATATAAAAAATTGGCTACAGTTAAAATAGAAATTACAGAAATGAGAAAAAAGGGTCCTTAACTTTAGAGAAAATACTTTTTCTTTGACAAAAATAAAATTTAAAAACCAAGTTGATTAAAATTCCAGTTAAATTAATATTCTCCTTATTTTCTACTTTGTTTTAGAAACATTTAATACGTGACTTTGAAAATAAATACAATATACTAAGGTAAAAATTAGGTGGAAAAGGAAAGCAGGACAAAGAGTAGTAGGTAAAATCTGTAACATGAGGTCTTGAACGTGGGTTAGTGTTGAGCCTCTCTCTACACAGCAGAAGACAGAAACCTTGACTGAGTATCAACAGCTAAGTTACTGAGTGCTTACCATGTGTCCAACACTATAAAAAGTGTATTCCTGTTTGCAACAACTTCAGGAACCAGATATTGCTCCATTTAACAGATTAGGAGACTAAAATTCAGAGAGATTAAATTATTTTGATTTGGGGATGAAAAGAGGAGTGGGAAATGAGGTCTTGTTATATTCCATAGGCTGACACCAAACTCCTATGCTTAAGCTACCGTCCTGCCTCAGCCTCCAAGTAGCTGGGACTACAAAGTACCCACCACCATGCCAACGAAACTAGAATTGCATAACTAGTCTTTGCAATGAGAACACAAAACATCCTTATGATGCATAATGTATCCACATACACTTGTTCTTAGGAACAAACACTGAAAGATATTACTGTACAAATAAATACACGAACTTCTGTGTTTAGATGTTGAAATTAAAGTGAATTTTCCCATTTATATGAAAAGTTGCTTTTCAAATAGTTAAAATTCTTTTTTTAAAGACTGACTTAACACTTCTGTAATACTTCATTATTCTTTGTTTGTTTAAATTCAAGTGCCAAGAGAGCCAGTAAATTCAATCACTGGAATGTTCTATTATTACTGCACTTATGTACAGAGTACCTGAAGTGCATTGGAAATAGTTAACTTAAAAAAAAAATTCTTCTTTTGGATCACTTTTCTAAGATAGAATAACTTACCTCTAAAACTTGTTTAAATGATGTGCACATTTATTTATTTATTCATTTATTTATTGTCTATGGCAGCTGTTGTACTATAGTGGCAGAACTGAGTAATGATAGTAGTCATATGGCTTGAAACTTCTTAAGACATTTAGTATGTGATCCTTTACAAAAAAGTTTGATTATCCCTGCTTTAAAGTTTACATTTTGCTATATTTGTAAATAAAATAGTATATCAAGAATTTCTTTTAAAATAACAGTGATAGAGGGAAAGATAAAAAAAATAGGTCACTTGTTGATAATCTTTTAAAGCTATATAAATACATAGGTGGAAGGGATTATTATATTTTTCTCTCGTATATATGATTATGTAATAACTCATTATAGAATACCAAATTTGGGGCTGGGTGTGTGGCTCAGTGATGGAGCATTTGCCTATCATGGGTGAGACCCTGGGTTTAATCTCCATCACGCACACACACACAAAAACAAAACAAAACCCTAGTATCTATTTTGTATATATTTACAGATTTCTATAAAAAAATTGTAAAAATCTGTTTCACTCTGTGTGAAATATTTTACACATACAAACATTTTACAATTTTTTCAAAGGAGTTAAGTTTAAAATATTTATGGGTAATGTCCCAAATTATTCCAGCCATAAATATAAAAATAAGTCCGTGTAAATGGACTGATCAAGCTTGCCACTTCATAACAAAGAGCTGTTCTGCCATATATAAATCCAGAATCACCACAGAACCAGGAATATATACAAATTATGGAAAAATGGTATTTACAAGTTTAAAAATCTTCAATACTGATATTAGATTAGTAAATGCATTTCTTCCTGGTCTTCAATTTGCTGCAAAGAGATGACAGCCAAAAGATAAAGACATGTTCTACATAACTTCACTACACAAAATAGTAGAAGATCTAATCCATGAAGTATATTAAAATTATACAGCCTCTTCCTTTTATAAATAAACACTTTACTTTTTATATATAGGCTGGGGTGTAGCTTAATGGTAGAGTGCTTGCCTAGCATGCATAAGGCTCTGGGTTTGATCCCCACCATTGTAAAATAAAACAAAACAAATCATACACACACACACACACACACACACACACACACATATATATACCAGCATATCAATCTTTAAATTCACAAGTAGATTTGGAACAGAGATTTCACAGAACTAAAGTGACCCAAAAAGTTTTGCACTATCAAGCCATAGCTATAGATGAAAGAAAACAAAAACTTGGAAAAAATAAATATGTAAATATTACTTTCAAGGGGATTAAAAACTTCAATTAGAAAAACACCAAAGTGTTATACTCACCAGTATTTTTGTGACCTTTCAAAATATAAAGAGGCACTGGACTGTCCAGTGAGAAAATGCAAATATTGTGGTCATTTCCTCCAGTGGCAATCAGTCCATGAGGGTACATGTCACTTGAGGGTATGATGCATACACAAGATACAAAATTAGAGTGGCCACTCATACAGTGCATTTCTGTAAAGCCCCTGTTAGGACTAGAAAAACAAGACAATTAATAGATAAATATTTGTCCTGTGCCTTACCCTAGAACATAACTGTCCAAGTATTCATTTTCATTTTGCATTCATGCTGAACTTTAGAGTATATACTACTTTACAAATCCATTGTTATATATTAAGTGAACTTGATAGGACAGTAGAAATGATCAAGTCTCAGTAAAAGAAGAAAGATGAAAGAAAAGTGAACAGAGCCTCTGCAACCTATAGGAAACAATCAAGAGAACCATATACATAAAGAGGGAGAGAAGAGAGAATATTTAAAGAAATAATTGCTGAAAAAAATCCCAGGTATGAAAATACACATCCAGAGAAGCTCAACAAATTTCAAGACACAGACACCCACACTGAGACACATTTCAAAGGGAGAATCTTGAAAGCACTAAGAAAGAAATAATTCATCACATATAAAGATCCTCTCAAGATAATGGATCTCATCAAAGCCTTTTGAGAGGAAGGTCTAGGGTACATAGCTCAGAAGTAGAGCAGGTGCTTAGCATGTGCAAAGCCCTGGATTCAATTCCCAATGCATGCACTGGCACATGCGTGTGTGTGCACACACACACATACAACTTTGGAGGCCAGAAGGAAATATATTGATACATTTCCTATATCAATATATTGATATAGGAAATGTATCAATATATTCAAAGTAGTAAAATAAAATTTAAAAAAACCCTTCACCCAAGAATCCTATGCCCTGCAAAACTGTTCTTCAAAAGGGAAGGAGGAATTAAAACTTTCCCAGATAACAAAAGCAAGGGAGTTTGTTACCAAGAGACTTTCCCCACAAGAAATGCTTAAGGGAGTCTTGCAGAGTAAAATGAAAGGAACTCAGACAGTAATCCAAAGACATATGAAGAAATAAAGATCTCAACAATGGTAAATACATCTAGTAATACAGCAGTGGTTTGCAACTCTATATTTTGCTTTTTACAATTTAAGAGACTAATACATTTAAAATAATTATTAATGTTTTGGAGTGCATAATGTATAGATGAATTTTTTTGACACCCACAACCAAAAGGGGGAAAAACAGAGTTGTGAAGGAGCAGAATTTGTATGTTATTGAATTTAACTTGTATAAATTCAAATTAGAATTAAAAGTTTGGCATGTTCAATGCAATTCTTCTGGTAACTACAAAGAGAATAGCTAAGAATCTACACAAAAGGAAATGAGAAAGGAATTTAAATTTTTATTACAAAATATCAACTGAACACAAAAGAAGACAGTGATGCAGGAAATGAGGATGAAAAAGCTATAAGGCATACAGAAAATAAATATTAAAATGCTATCAGTAATGACTATAAATGTGAATGGATTAAACTCTCCAATCAAAAGACAGATGGGCAGAATGGTTTAAGAAATATGATCCAATTATATGCTGTCTACAAGAGACTCATTTTTGATCTAAAAACAAATACAACGGAAAATTCCTTGAAAACAGTAACCAAGAGAGAACAGGATTAGCAATACTAATATAAGACCAAATAGACTTTAATTTTAAAAAAGTGAGACATACATTATTATATATTAATAAAAATGCAATATGGCAAGAATACAAAACAATCATAGACACTTATACACCAGATAACAGGCCATCAAAATACACAAAGCAAAAAGTGACAGAATTGAAGGATAAATAGTTCTACTATAATTGCCGAAGACCTCAATACCCCATTTTCAATAATGAATAAAACAACCAGACAGAAAATAGGTACAGAAATTAAAGGCTTAACACAATAAACCAACTAGAACTAACAGAACACTTCGCCCAAGAACAAGACTCTTCTTGTGGAAAAGAGCACGATGATTTTTCTAATCAAAAAACTAAAACAGCCAGGGATGGTAGCTCATGCCTGTAATTCCAGGGACTTGCAAAGCTATTGCAGGAGGATTGTGAATTCATAGCCAGCCTCAGCAACTTAGTGAGGCCTTAAGCAACTCAGCAAGACCATGTCTCTAAACAAAACATGAAAAAGAGCTGGGGTGTAGTTCAGTGGTTAATGCCACTGGATTCAATTTCCCATATTAAAAAAAAAAAAAAATGTGATCCAGTTATCCCATTTCTGAGTATATTTCTAATGGAATGAAACCAGAGTCTTAAAGAGATATTTAGACAACCATGTTTAGCATCATTATTTACAATAGCTAAAATGTGGAAGCAACCCAAGAGTCTATCAATCAATGAATGGATAAACAAATGTGGTCAACACAAACAACAGAATTTTACTTAACTTCAAAAAGAAAGAAATTCTGACAGGTTCTAAAATATGAATGAATTTTGAGGATAATACTAAATGAAAAAAGCCAGTTACATAATGATGGTTACCATGAGCTAAGGAAAGGAAGCATGGGAATTTATTATTTTAATGAGTATAAATTTTATAAGATGAAGTTATGAAGCTGGATGGTGGTAATAGTTGCATACCTCAAAAATATACTTAATACTACTGAACTTTATACATAAAAATGGTTACAAAACTAAATTTTGTTAGATAGCTATATATTTTATATTTTTTTAGTTGTAGATGGACATAATACCTTTATTTTGTGTATTTATTTTTACGTGATGCTGAGGATCAAATCCAGTGCAGCATGCATGTGAGGCAAGTGCTCTACTGCTGAGCCACAACTCCAGCCCCCTAGGTGTATTTCACCAAAATAAAAATAAATTGGGGGGGGGGATTATGAGCACTATAAATCTACAGAAATGGGGGAAAAGCACAGAACAAGAATAAGGATAACCAATAGAAAATCTTCATAATCAGTTGAATCATATGAAAAAAATCTTCAAAGGAAGATAATTGGTAGTAGCCAATTTTTGTTCACTTCATTTATGAGAGTTTTTAAAAATGTTATTTTGAAAACATTTATCAATAAGCCCAGAGAAAATTTTAAAATAATACATGTTTAAAAATCTATAGTATGGGTGGTGGGGTTAGTGCACATGTGTAATCTCAGCTACTTGGGAAGTTGAAGAAGGAAGATCATTGAGGCCAGCCTCAGCAACTTACCAAGATCCTGTCTCAAACAAAAAATAAGAGTTGGGGATGTAGCTCAGTGGTAGAGCACCACTGGGTTCAATCCCCAGTACTGGGGGGGAAATAAAATCAATATTAGGTAAATTACTAAGTCTATGTATGTGTGTCCTTTAGCACTTCTCAGCATAAATGTCTGTATGCATCATCCATAGTGGTCTATGAATTTTGTAATGGTGGAATCCAGATCTGATTTTTCTTTATATTTTCCCAAATTACTAGCACAATACATAGTAAGCATTAAGTAGTTTTTGAATGGATAAAAAAAAAAATGCTTTTAAGCATTAAGAAAAAGAAAAGACTGCCAGCCACCCCAGACTGGCAACTATACCCTTCTTGTACTCTGCATAGGTATGAAACTTTTACTTAGAAAAGGTGAGTCTGAATGGGGGGGGCACCAGTCTTGGAACTGTGAGAAACATGTAATTTCATACTAAAGCCCAAGATTACCAAAAACAAAACACCTGAGGCTGGAGATCAGCCCAGGGAAATGGCCCCACCAATTAAGTTCAAAATCAACAAGTGCCAGCTAAGAGCACAGAACTTCCCAAGAGCTTTTTATTCTCCATCTTCAACAATAAGGACACAATACAGATTACCAAACATCTGAGGAAATGCCTCCAGCATAACATATGAGTCCCCCCGCCCCCCCCCCAAAAAACCCAACCAACCAACCAAACAAAAACAACCCATCAATTTGGAGGAAACAGACCACTCAGGAAAAAAATAAAATAAAATAGAAAAATAAGAATCATTAAGATCCTTGAAAATACTGCAACCATGAGACAAAGACAAAATTTCACAAATAAGTCAAGGTAATTCCATAAAAATTATAGCCAAAAAGAGAAAGAAGATATTGTTTTAAATGGGAGAAAAACAAAAAGAAATTTAGAAAATAAGTCCAATATTTGAATTTCTAAATTTTTAAAATCTTTTAAAATTAAATACTGCACAGAACACATCTTTATATAGAGAAATAGACGTAAAATGTAAGAATTAGGAGTTAGATAAATTTTTTGCCTTTGAGAAAGAGAAATTTGGGATGTAATATGAAGGGAACAGGAATTGCTTTGGTTTCCTAACAAACCCCACAGATATACTGGATGAAGAACCTAAAGTACTGAGTTTACAAGAGGGAGAAGTCACTTTATCCTTAGCATGATCAGAGAATACTGAATGTATGAACTTCAACCTGCAGTTGTATCTTCCAATATGGATAGTTTTCAAAAGGCAAAGATGCTGAAGCCTTATCTCATCTCTCCCAACCCAGAAGTGATGACAGACTTGGGAGATCCAATTTAGTATGAAGAAGACAGCTTATGGAAACCTGAAGTAGTATGAAATAGGAGCAGGTTGGCTGGCTCAATTTTATGTACTACTGAAAAATAGTGTCGAAAGGACCTTCAAAAGGTCCAGAGACTTTCTGAGTTTTCAATGGATTTCAGTTTAAGACCAGATATCTGATTTAGTCCATCCTAGAAGAGAACTCTGTGTCTCCCGAGAAGTAAATTCTATTCTAGTTCATCCCTATACTTACTACCTTGAGCCAGAACCATACTGACAATGTACTTGTGAATACATATTTCATTTACTACCTGACTCCAAGCATTGTACAGTCTTTCATTAATTTATTAATATCCCATGAAATAAAAACTGTCAGTATGCCACCTTGTGAACCCTTTTATAACACAAAAGGTGTAGTTTGAGACATTCTAGTTAGGAAGCATAAAATGTCAATCACCTAGTGACGGAGATGTTCTAACCTGAGCGCTGGAAAGAGAAAAATAATCTTGTTTCAGTAATACCCCAATATCTACCTCTGTGCCTGGCAAAATGCAAGTTTTTCATATAAATACCTGAATGTATTTGGGGAAAAATAATGTGATTTAAATCAGTTCTCAAATAGAAGATTAGAATCAGTTCTCAAATACAAGATCATTTTAGACCAAAGTTCATCAAGTTCCTAGATTATGCAACTTTCCAGTGATTTAAACTTTTGTCAACGTGGCACAGTCCTATAAACATATAAAAGTTTAATGACAGGATTCCACTATTAAAATAGGCATCTTCCTACAATGTTTATATCCTTCTGAGCATGTTTTTACTGAACTTGATTCTATGCATTTACTTTTTGTTTTGTTTTGTTTTGGTGCCAAGGATTGAATTGTGTTTTCTTAGTATACATTATCACTGAGATATACAGCCAATCTTTAAAAAATGTATTTAATTAGTTATGTTTGGAGGACCGTTTTAAAGTCTCAAAATTAATCATTGTTCTCAAATACACAAACAGCTACCTAACATGTTATAAGTGGTTTGAAATACCACAGAACCTTAAAGAGTTAGAAGAGACCTTTAAAGATCATTTTATTCAAGTCAATACAGGAATTTGCTGTATAATTTCCCTAGTCTAATCTACCCTCATGTGTAGGCTGCATTACTGCAAAAGCCTCCAAACAGATCTACTTTCACACTTGTCCTTTTCCAATTTATTTTCTATCAGTGGATAGCAAAAATTTCTCAACAAGAAATCCCATCATACTCCCAACTATCTGAATGCTTCTACCTCTGAACTCCATGACCTGGTTCCTGCCAGGCTCACCTCACCATTTATATCCTCCTGTTACACAGGAACTTTCCTTTTTCTCAATACAAGGGCCTCAGTGTTCCTCCTGCTGTCCAGGCTGTTCCTTCATTTTAGATCTTCCAGCTCAACCATCCTCATTTCTCCCTCCCCAAGACCAGCACAATCCATCTCATGCTTCTGATGTCAGCTTTAAAAAATAAAAACATCTCCTGGAGAAGCTTCCTTTTTAACACTACCCCCCCCACCGCCATTCTTTATCTGTATTCTTCATAATACATATGTCAATTCATCTTCCTCAGCAGATTAAGAGAGTTCCATAAACATGTGAATTGTCTGTTTTCTCCTCAGGATACAAAAAAGAGGCATTCAACAGTTATCAACTGAATTTAAGAATGGTAACCTCAAATCTGAAACCTCTAGTGATGTGAGACTTACTAAACAAAGTAAGTAACCTCAATTACAATCAGTTGTAAACCCTTAAACTTGATCTGGACCTTTTATTTATTTATTTAGTTTGAGAATTTGGTTGATAAAACTTTGAAGGCAATGAGCCTTCCTCAAGAAAAGAGCATATCCACACAGCAATAAGCATTTTAGGGGTATCATCCACGTGATCCATCACAGAGCCCAGACTAAAATACTCAAACCTGCACCACAAAGAGAGGATTCAATGCAACCTTCTGTAATGCAATTTTTGAGATCTAAAGGTAGACTACGGAGCAACTTCTAGGAAAAAAGAAAAACAACAAATCACCAATATGAAAGATGCTTTCACATTACCTCACTTAGGAGGGTGCACCTGGCATCAGTAAATTTTCAACTCTAAAAGAAACTTTGGAAGATATTCTGCCAAAACTGAAACCCTCAAAAGTAAGAGGATCCTCCAAGGTCACCAACTCGTGAAGTGGTCAAGTTAAGACAAGGCGGCAGGTGTCTGGTCCTCCAAACCGGTACTAGATCCACTTAAATCTGAAGTCTTACACTGTGCGCCTAAAGTGCCACAGCTCTGAAAATCGGCTGGGACCTGGGAGCCGAGGGCAGGAAACGAAGTATACAGCCCGGAAGGGTCGCTCTTCCTTCCCTGCGGGAAGCCCGCAACGTAGCCAAGGGCAGCCCAAGTCGCAGCGCTCACCTGTCCGGGGCCCAAAGGCGGGTGGTGCGGTCTCGGGACACCGACACAAAGGCTCCCGGCGGATAGAGGCAGCACACCAGGCCCCGCACGTCCAGCTCGTGGCCCGGGAGGGAGCAGCTCAGCCGGTACCTGGCGGCGCCGCTCGCCATGGCCCGTGTGGGTCGGACGCCCGGAACCCGGGCACTGTGCGAGATCCGTCCACAGGGCACACCTGGCGTGCACCGGCTGCCGCGGGAGTTGGGCCTGCAGGTGAGGGGCGACGGAAGACCGGAAGAGCCTGGGAGCCGGTGCGGAAGGGCGGCGGGGAAGGGGCGCGCCGAGCGAGCCGAGTGACACAGCAACCCTGACTTGCACGCCGGAATTCATCATCCGCCTCAGCCCGCCATGACGCAGAGTTTGTGCGTCCCGACTGTCGAGGCCGACTCGGGGCTGCGGCTCGCTCCCCTCCTGCTCTCTGGATCGCCGGCGGAGGAAGAGAGAACCACGCCCGGTCTTTCTGTGCAGGCCGAGCCCGGTGCTTTGCTTACTTGGTCCCTTGCTGTGCCTTGGCGGAACTGTTTCTTGTAATACGGGATTCGCGCCAGAACTACAAATCCCACAGTGCCGCGCGTCAGCGGGTTGTGAGCGGCCGGTGAGCCGAACCCGGATATTTTAAATCTGGAGTCTCCGCGCTGCGCCCTGCGTAGCGGTGGAGATTGCTTCGTGACTCCTGTTAGGGCTTACTTACCCCATTTTCTCCCCGCCTTCTCTACGGAGTCTCCTGAGACTTTTACAAGGTAAACATTGTTTTTCAATGAAAACAAGAAACCCTTGGAGTCAAACTAACCTCGCTTGCCTCGTTTCAAATTATCCCAGTCTCCTTGCCCACTGCCATCAGATTAGCTAATGAGTATGGTGGTCCGTGTCCGTTCTTTCAGGCAGTATGTCCATTCGTCTAGTGGCTTTTTGCTTCTGTAGATCTAGGGTGGGCCTGAGAATATATGTTTTTAAGCACACCCGGGTGATGTTGCCTGTCGTCGTTGGACCACGTTGAGTGCGACTGTCCACAAGATTTCTCCTCCAACAATTTCCCTCCCACCAATTTCACTTCGCCACAACCCCTTCTAAATTGCCAAGTCCAGTTAGCGCCTTTCTCACTTCTTTCCTCTTAAAATTCTCATTCGAAGTTTGGAATCACCACTCTTCTGGTTTCTGTTTCTGATTTTAGTCCTGAAATGTTGACATCTTAATACTTGCTTTGCTGTAGCAACTTCTTCCTGGGTAGACTGTTTACTATTGCTTATTTCTAAATGTATATCCCCTGATTGATATCTCCAAACTCTAGATCCGAATTTCTAGCTATTAGAAATCTCTACTTAGTAGTTTCTTGCTTTTTGAGGCGGAGAAGGGACTACCGGGGATTGAATCACTGAGCCACATCCTCAGCTCTATTTTGTATTTTAATTAGGGACAGGCACTCACTGAGTTGCTTAGCGCCTTCCTATTGCTGAGGCTGGCTTTGAACTCCTGATCCTCCTGCTTTAGCCTCTGGAGCCCTTAGGATTACAGGCATGCGCCACCGCGCCCCAGAATTTCTTGCTTAAATTTCAACATGATTCTAGACTCTTTGCCCCTACTCTCCAGCCAATTCTACACATTAAAATGGGATTATCTTTCTAAAAATTAGATTGTGTTATTCCTTCGTTCAGTAACCTTTGTTTTCCATTCTTGAGTATAGCAATATACAAGGTCTTTTATATCTCCTTTCCAGATTCATCTCTGGTGCCTCCTCCCATCCCTCAACCATATTGACTTTAGCACCATTCCTGAACACATCATGCTATTCATGTTTCCATGCTTTTTGTACATAATCTTAAAAACAAATGAAAAAAACTTATAATGCCTTTTACCACCTGTCGCATTTCAACATCAGTTTATCATCTTCTGGCTCTTCTGTAGACCAGTGCAATTTTGTTATCTTCAATGTAGTATTCACTGAATTTTAACACATAAATGTGTGTGTCTTTTCTACCAGACTAAATTTCCTTCTGTCATCTCAAATGTCAACCATCTAGTTTACTGATATATATACCAGATCTTCGGTGAACCTTTCTCCACTGTACAAAGCAATTTTCAGTCTTTTAGTCCTCACAATAACCTTGCAAGGCAGATGGTTTTATTACTCCCATTTTACAAATAAAGAATTTGCCTCATTAACAACAAACAGATCAGCTGTTGAATTGTGTGATTGTGCACACCTGTAATCCAATGCTAGAAGCTGAAGTAGGAGGACCCCAGGTTTCTGGTCAGTCTGAGCAATTTAGTGAGACCATGTCTCAAAATAAAAATGAAAAGGACTGGGGATGTAACTTAGTGGTAGAGCACCCCTGGGTTTAATCCCCAGCACCAGAAATAATATATATATAAATCAACAAGGAGGCCATTGTGCTATTGCTCCTGCACTAAAGCCGAACTCAACAGTAAAAGGAAATTTAAGCTGCCAATCAAAAGCTGCCTAATTTTCCTCTGGACTTTCTGAAGGGAGCCTCCTGTGTAATCAGGGAATACATGGAATCAGTGAGGGCAGAAGATCAGCCAACTTTATCTAACAATCTCATATATGACACGTGTTCAATAGTATTTTTTAAATTAGTTAACAACTGAAATAACTTAAATCACATAGCAAGAATGTAATGGAGCTCAGACTAAACTTAAGTTTTGTGAACACAAAACTGAGCTCTACAATATTTTACATGTTAAGCAATTCATACATTTAAAACATTTTCTTCTTACTCTCCATCTGTGTACAAAGTGACAAATTCTGGATTCTCCTGCCATGTGCCTGAGGGCATGTAGGACTACTCTAGATGATGTTACAAGTTTTTTCCAGAAAAAAACAGTATAGTTACCCAATCCAGACCAAACATTAAAATTTATGTAAACTGAGTTATGCATTACAGTTTTGATTCTCAGTATGATGCCAGGGCCTTACACATGCTGGGCAAGTGTATCTCTGAGCCATGTGTCCATCCCATTTTTTAAATAATCAAATAATGAGATTTTAGGGCTCTAGTATTATTAATCAGTGTGTTTAGATTTTTTTCTAGTCATTTGCTGTAACAAATACTGTTCAAATGAATAACCTTGGTTATGAACATATGTGTTATATATGTACATGAATCCAATAAGAATATATGCTGAGGGCTGGGGATGTGGCTCAGTGGTAGAGCTCTTGTGCAGCATGGGTGAGGCACTAGGTACAATTCTCAGCACCACATATAAATAAATAAAAATAAAAAAGTCCATTGGCAACGCAAAAAATATTTTTTAAAAAGAATATATGCTGAATTGCTAAAAGTGCAATTGCTGGTCAAAGGACATGTACATTGAATTTTCATAGCCATTTTCTTTCCATAGACACTGCCATCAGTGGATCTAGTATTTTTTCACTTGATGTAAATATTCACTAACACATTCATTAATATCATCTGTATTCTGCTCTAGAAAAATTTAATGATGCTATTTCTGAAAGTTTATTTTTTTAAAAAAATCTACATTCATACTGCAAATATCCATTGTTTTTTGTTTGACTTTTTTCTTCGATGGGCTCTGGCATAACTGACCTTATTCAATAACAAGTAATCTCTTGGTTGTTATCTTAGGGTTAGTCAAATGACCAATAGGCCAACCAGACTATGGAGATATATATATGTATATGTGTGTGTGTATAATTCTTTGGCTGAGTCTGGTTTCCTCTCAGTCACCTAAATAGCTGGGATTACAGGCATATGCCACCACTCCCAGCTTCAACTAATCTTTATTCTGCTTCTACATAAACTCTATAAAATGTTTGCCTTCAGCCACCTCTAACAGAGTCCTAAACCACTTCTGGTTTACAACTGCTACCTGCTCAAGCTCTTTAAACTTTTCACATGCTGTTATAGTTCAGATATTGGGGGGGGGTATCCCTCAAAAACTACTGTCAATGCAGGAATATTTGAAGGTGAAATGATAAGATCATGAGAGTTGTAACCTCATCAATCCATCTTAGTTGGAATAGACTGACTAGGTCTTACCTCTAGGCCGATGGGCATGGTTGGAGGAGGTCAGTCACTGTGGGAATGCCCTATTGCTTTCTGCTCTATCCTGACCCCACAAGGAGCTGAGTAGCTAGCTTTACTCCACTGAATTTTTCCACCATGATGTTGTACCTCACCTTGAACCCACAGCAATGAAGTCAGCCACCAGTGGATTCTCTGAAACCATGAGCCCCAAATAAACTTTTCTCCTTGAAGTTATTCTGTTAGATATTTCATTTACAGTGATGCAAAAGCTAACTGAAACATATGCTAAAGTTTATCTTTCAGAGTTTTTTAGTAGGAAAAACACAGGGTGCATTGGGGACGTTGAATAGGGAAGAGGCAGAGGGAATTGGAGATTAATTCAGTGGAGTGCCAGAGAATTCTCTGAAGAAAGAACATATGGGTTAAGACTTGAATGATGAACAAGACTTTTGACAGTGAAAAGCACAGGAATACGGATTCCAGGAAGAGAGAGTTCCTGTCCTGAGCCAGACAGGAACTTAAGACACAAATACTGTTACAATAAATTTATGATTATTTACATAGTCCTTTATCTATCCCCAACCACACCCCTAGCACTGGGGATTGAACACAGTGGCACTCTACCACTGAACTACATCCCCAGTCCTTTTTTATTTTGAAAAAAGGTCTTACTGATTTGCACAGGCTGGCCCGAAACTTGGGATCCACCTACCTCAGCCTCCCAAGTCACTGGGATTACAGGCATCTTAAAAACAACAGAATATATCTTCTCTCTCTCCTTCCCCAGCCCTTCTGCTTCTCTGCTTCTGTTTATGTCCTGCACTGCGCAACCTTGCGCCATCATGCTATTCTGCCATGTTTTCCCTCTTGAGAACAGCACTAAGAACAAGCACTGCTGCCTGCAACAACATACTGATGCTGGACATTGGTTGCTACAGATAGACCTTTGCAGTCTTAGACACTGGGTGTACTTGCCAAGGCTTTCACCCTTTCTTAAGTAAACTCCCTAAAGTCTGGTTCTTATACATGTTTGGGGTATGAGCATCAGATTACATAGAATGGGTTCAGGTCGGGCACTCAGAAGTCCCACTTATTGTCAAGAAAACCAAAGTGTCTCAATACAATGTTCTCCTTTTTTCTAGTCAACCTGCCTGTTGTCATTTCTTCCAAAAATGAATTGAAAAAAACAAGGCTAGTTCTCGAATATCGCGATAGAAGTTTGATCTCGTTTGTTTGTGGGTACCGGGATCTTAGGCCCAGGATTGACCAATCAGGCGCAGGGCCCTTCTTCACCCCACCCCGGTTGCCAGGATACGCAGCGCCACGCAGCCGTAGCTGGTTAGGCCCGAGGGCCTAAAAAGCCGCCCCTGAGTGACCGGGAGTCGCGGGCAGGGAAAAGCTTGCTGGTGGGTTCCTCCGCAGTGACGGCCTCGGAAAGAGTGGAGCGTCCTGAACCCTTGCCATCGCCCTCCTTCCGCGACGGTGGA